ATTTGCTGTCATGTTAAACTTATATTAAAGTTTTTCTTCATTACCCATTTAAGCCGTCTCCAGCCATTATTAGTCTCAAAGTGGGCTCCTCGTCATCGAACAATAACATACATTGATATAATCAGCTTGAACAAGTATTCCCAACTGAACAAAACATTATATAAGTGCAATTATATAAGCTTACATCCAAATCGATTTCACTCTGTCTACAGACAGGTAAAAAGTCAGTTAAAGAGAAAAATATGAAACCCTATACTTTTATCAGGAGCAAACTTTCTTAAACAGTTTGCCCCTGCTGATAAAAGGTCTACCTTTTGAAAGCATTTAGTTTTTAGGATTTCATATTTTTGTCTTCGACAGAAAATCAATGACTGTACATGAAACAAACAATTACTTTAACTGTAGGTTATGTTCCATTATTTCTTCAGTTTCATTAACAGTTATGGTTATAGTGTTTGATATATGTACCAATTTATTTATTTTTACACTTTGGACGATTCTTTTACATTTTTAGTTTTGTACGTGCACTTAAGACTATTCTAAATCTACTCAGATGATCAAATCTCAAGAAATATTGTCGGGATCACAGCCAAAAATATAAATAATAGGGAGGGTACCCAACTGATGAATCAATACCCTCTACCACAAGTTTTTTTGTATTCTTGTGATTTGTTTAATGACATTACATAATTCTAGTTAGACTGGTATACAAAATTAGCTAAGTTATTATTTTTTAGCTTAGATCTATGTAGTTACCTTGCTTTCATTGAAAGTTATATGTTATACAGTGGCATACCATTCTTAATTCTTCTGATTCCTTTAAAATGGTTATCTAAATATTTTACCATGAATTAAAAAAAAACCTTAAGCACTGGTTCTTTCCAAGTTTTATTTATTCTGCATTTCAAAGTGAAAGGCCTTTCTACTATTAAACTATAGGGTGCCAACTTTACACATATCTAAAACCATTATTTGATAAAAGTCAAAACCCATTAAGCCCCACACCAGGGTCTGGCATAAAAGAGCTGGCATTAAGATCTGACTCCCTATTACCCCCAGGTCTGTCTTCTCTGTGCCTTGTGTCTACTTAATAGTGATAAACAAACTGCTGAACCATTTGTCACCAAATCTGGCATGTACCCTTAGGACCTTTGAAGAGTGAACTAGGAGAGCTTACATTCAGATTTGGGCTGTGACCTCCTATATTATCACCCAGGAATACCTATGTCTTTCCCCCCATACATTGAATGGCTAGTAGATAAAATGTGGGAGATGTAAACTCACAGAAAGCCAGTACTCTGTACCTTAACAATTAAATCACAAAACATTTGCTTGGGAGTGATCTTACACATGGTTAAATTAATCACAGATAGAGAAAACCTTACATTTCTTCAGACAAAACACCATGATTTTGTGTAAAAGTAAATCAAAATCATTGAAAAATCAAACACCAAATAAGCAAAAAAAATTAAGATAAAAATAAAAAATGAGTAACGTTTATCATTACAGAAATAATGTCAGAATAAACTGACACAAAAGTAAACAAAAGTAATGAAAAAGAAAATACCTGGTTCACAATTTTCAGTTCCTAGCTCTACTAATCCAAATATCTCAAGTTATAACTTTTTTGTTTACCACTCTTAAGAAGAAAATGTAAAGTAATTGAAAGAGCTATATATCAGCTGAACAATGAATGTACTTATAAAACGTTCGAGTTTTCTGGTCCTTTTCATTTCCAAAATAAAGAAGGCCCAGCTTTAAGTATTTTGTCACCCTAAGCAATAATTTAAAATATCATTCTGTTTTCTTGTAGTCAAAAAAAAAATACTATATCTAAAGCCCCTAACATATAGATATAAAATGGAAGGCTTAATACCGATGGTGTTATTAAAGCATACGAAGTAAATTCACATTACGTCAAATAAAAATACCTAACCTCTGTATTACTATTAGTATTAGCAGTGTTACTGTAGAGTATAGTGTTAGTACGTATTAGTTGGTATAATGTGTACAGAATTCCATAAACTTTTTCATAACGCGTATCTTTTCTTAAGCCTATATAAATATATTCTATTAGAAAATTACATTTAACAGCTACTAACATAAATATTTGAGAAACTACTCCGTCAGTTATCTTAAGTTTTACCAATTTTTACTTTTCGTGTCAAGACTAACAGTAACAGTGACGTTACCTACCTCAGTTTCTAAAGTTCTAACGTGAAGTCTTGCGGCCGACGCCGGCACGTCTACAAAACTACCGCTACAACAGTTTGATGCACCCCCGCATGGGATGCGACTCTTTCCCACAACTCCTCGCGAATATTCGAAGCGGCCACTGGGCATTCGCTAACAGTAACAGGGCAGAAGATAAAGCAGCAGGCTTCATGCATACAATACAATCAATAGTCCACGTCAGCAATTAAACTTTACATAAAAGTTCAACGCCAGGACAAAATTTGTCTCCAACAACTTTTACTCCTTTCGATGTACGATGATAACCAGAAATTTCGATAGGTAATTTTTAACCGGAATAATTTCACATTGAACAACACAAAGTACGTTCTTGGGTTTTTTTTATAAAGCTCCAACACAAAACAATTGTTCACAGAACTCGTCTAACAATGTTTACATTACAGTACGTATACAACTATAATCACCTAATTATTATTTTTTTTCAACCGCTTTAATTATTCTATTCGTCATTCTTTGATATTTTTTTTTCAAAACTAAGAAAAGGAATGCCTATTTATAGACAATCCATTTAAATTGCGAGAGGTTTGTACACGTTTTAAACTAGTAATATAAAACTTTTCATCGGTGGGCATGATTATTTATACTATAAATGTATATTCTGTGAAAACAACAAATACTAAACTAGGTCAAGCCCAAACAGGAATAAACCTAGTTATAGAACGTGTGAAGAACGAGTCCTACCTCTTTATGCTTTGGGAAATCGTCACAAATATATCAGTCTTAATAAATTTACTGAAAGTTTCGAACTAGCCGAGTTTATCTGGTTTTTAACAAACAGTTTGAAATTAAAAAGCTTTATCCCTCAATCCAGCCTTCTTTGTAGAAACAGCAGTGCAGAACAAATACAATAGAAACCTGTAGTTGTTTATACCACCTGTACAATGTAGATGTTTTGTACATAATTGTCAAATACACAAATGAAGAAAGTAAAGTTATATCATACTACCAAAACGGAAAAAGAAAAGTCGATATAGGTATTGAGGGTGAGGTGAAGTGTGTGTGTGTGTATATATATATATTTAAACAATATTTGCTCTCTCCATCTTTAAGTCATCAAAACCTCAATCTTACCATAAACATTGTACTTACATAGTTTGTCGAATGCACGTATGTATGTATATATATATATATATATATGTATATATTACGTAAACACACAATTAAATATCTTCATTTTATTTGTTGAAGTGAATAAAAGTATTTGTGAGTGGAGATTTTCAGTCTTGAAATATATCTCCCGGAAATCTCCCGGATATCAGCCTCAGTTCCCTTCTCCCAGCTAGTTTCAAAAATTTTCTGGGAAATCTCCTGGATTCGCGTTTCGGTTTGACAAAGGGAATATATATATAACACTAGTTAAACGTCTGTTATTTGTTTTTCCAAAATAAATTTACTCTGCCATTAAAAGATTAAAATGCTCAGGCTGCACGTTTCGTATCCTTCACCAGAAGAAAAGCAGTGACAGCGCTTCGAGATGTGTGAGATATTTCAAGCGTCAGGATAGTATGGTGCCATACTTCTTTTGACGTACGACAATTTCTACGTACAGGTGGAATGTATAGGGGTTTCGTCGGTAATCTCCCAGTTTTGGTTGCTACCAGAAATACAGCAATCCTAGGTTACTTTGGATTTAGATTCCCGAAATTCAATCATAAGACAAACTTTTCTTCCATTAACAAAATGATTATCTAAATGTGTTAATTAAGTACAGCTTACTCGTTTTTGTAACCACTACATCACACATGACTAAGAAAAACAATTTTATGTTAGCTTATAATGTATACAAAAGTACCGGGAATAGAAACGCCACCTATCAATACGTAAAATAGATAAAGTGAAGTGAATAGAAAACAACTAGTATATATTATGTTATCTACATTTCGATTACATTAATAAAAATATGCTATAAAATAAAAAAAAACATTATCCTTCTATACATACATAACAAACAAAAAAATCTACTCTGGATAATTTTTAAAACATTTACCCTTTCATTCACATATACAAAATGTAAAAATCAATTCGGGGGAATTTTAAAAAGTCGTTGCTGTTTCAAAAAGGCATAAAAAAGTCTTACCTCAGTTCATCAATGTTTATTCTTTTATTAACAAAACCAATACTAATATTATAGAAATATGCTGCTGGGTGTATTTTAGTTTGCAAATTAGTTGCAGCGATCGTCAACGTTTTGATATTTTGACGTGACAAAGATGTTTGCACGCATTACACGCATAGATACATATAACTACTTATGCACTAAATCCACGTGCTCCAGATTTTTAAAGATCACAACCATAAGATAAATAGATATTCGGACAAATCCTCTCGGTACATAATCAGATCCTGGCATTATATTTGAAAATATGCATCGTTAATTATTGTGATCTCAGTTTATACTCTGAATGATATATTGCCCAGTATGGCCAATTCTATAAAACTTTTTTCAAAGTTAACATTTCCCTTATTTGAAAATGTATTTCCAATAGATGCTCATCTCCTCACATGAATAATTTAATCCCTCGCGCATCTGCCTGTGAGATTTGCATACCACTAGCCTTTAACTAGTGAACTGTGCTAGTGCATGATGACATCAACATGCGACCTCTACTAATATGAAGGTGACACAACGTCCTTGGGCAGTAACTCCCCTCAAGCACGTTCATTCAAAATAACTTCATTCCTAGATGAAGCAAGATAAAAGAGTGCATCGAGACTGGGAAGGTGTGAGGAGGTACCTTTTGAAAATACATTTTCAGGCAATGAAAATGTTAATTTCCGAGACGATACCTCACCTCTATACACACACACACACACAGAATAGCTAAAATTTCACAATAAACTGCTGGAGGGGCCAGTACAAATATTAGATGTAGATGAGCTCCCTTTCGAAAGTGCCTGAAGGGGAGCCCATGGAGTGTGACACTAGATGGCAGGAGCTCCATAGGGGGCACACCACACAGAATAGCTAAAATTCCACAATGAATCCGTGGAGGGGCCAGTACAAATATTAGATGTAGATGAGCTCCCTTTCAAAAGTGCCTGAATGGAAGCCCGTGGATTGTGACACCAGATAGCAAGAGCTCCATAGGGGCACACCTGCAGAGCCCATGGATTGTGATACCAGATGACAGGAGCTCCATAGGTGGCAAACCTGGGAGACCTTATCTCATCAAAGTGGAAGATAAGTTACAAGAGAAAAAAGAATCACATGTTAAGAAAAGATGTTGATTGGCTCAAAGGGGATCAATACAAACAACATAACTACAAAATGCCCAAAAAGAATAAAGGAGACAGTTGGGTCAGAATGAATGTACAGGAAAGAAAGTGGAGGAAGGGTGATTGGAAGAAACATCTGATAACCCTCTTGACTACCTAATTCTTGGGCTGTTCGATAGGACGAAGGGACACGAGAGAAATCCAATTCTCCAAAAGACACAGAACATCTTGTGCGGAAAGAGGACAGAGAGTTTAGTAACATGAAGCTCCATGTCTTAAAGAAATAAAGCAGGAGGCTAAGCCCACCCTGCAGATATGCTGAAAAGACTCCCTTTAATGTAGAATAACCTATGGTGATATAAAACTACACAATGAGCCATTTGTGTTCAGTTTGCTGCATTAAAGCAAACCATAGCCTTTAGCTTTGTAAGTCCATACACTGACTGCAATTATCCTCAGGGCCCAATTGAAAATGTATGTGGCCTTAGCAAACCCGAAAGAATGGGCTTGGACTGAAAAATCCTACAATCATGGACAAATTGAAATGTGAATAAATGCATTACAAACGTTAAATCTAGTCATCCACAGCTCAGGAGAGAATAACCACCTATGAGTGAGCGAACTGTCGATCTTGAACTGAAGTATGACAAGAATTTGATTCAGGGACAATAGAACAATTGTAGGTTACCAATCACCCAACCATGTGTACAGCCACTTATAGAGAAAGTACTTATGTTACTCAATAGTTTTCTGCAATAAAAGTTCACAGGTAGGCAATGCAAAGTGGGAATGCAGAACTCCAACCAGACTGAAGCCATGGAATAGCTCTAGAAACAAGTCACCTCCATGATCCAAGAGATCAAGTCTTCCAAAAGGGAATGTCATAGAGTATCGATAGGATGAGAAGCAAGAGAAGGGCAACTCTATGAAGCTTCCAAAGTTGAGAAACCTGGACCAAGCAAAGTGGAAAATAAAAGTGAGCAAAATTACTGCTAGCAATCTGTCTCGGCTTGAGTGACTGAGGAATAAGGAACTCCTCAAAAACCTCATCACAAAAGAAGGGTGAGACACAGAGGTTTCTGAAATAAAACTGATCAAGACAACTCCAGAAAATAAAGCATCTTGAACAAGCAAATCTCAGAAACAAAGTTAAATGGGAGTTGCTGAATAACAAAAAAAACAAGGCCAAGGTGTAAAACTGATAGGTACAAATCTCCCCTCACCAGTGAAGTTGTCGGGATCCCAATGCAGAACCTATGAAAGAAGGTGAAGTGTAGACAGATATTAAAGCACCTGAGGAAGATAGTGAAATGCGGATTGAGCAGGAAAGTGAAAATGAGAAAGAGATCTCTAAGTTGGAAGAAGAGATTATAGGGGCTGAACCTCAAGGAAGAATCATGAAAAATGCCAAAGGATAAGAATATCAAGGGGATGGGGGAAAAAGAGTAGATAGATCGTCAGAAGATGAAAGGTCATGCAGAATGTATCCCAAAAGTCAACAATAAACAAATGCTGAAAAAGAAAAAATGTCTTATACCTGTGGAAACAACTCAAAAAAGGATGAATATGAGATTACGTGTTCCTCATTGGGAAGGAAAGAACCACAAGCAAAAGCAGGTGGTGGGAATATTAACTTAAAACCATCAAATGACAAGGCAGGCTCAGCTAAAGCAAGAGAAGCAGAAAGTCGGAAGGATCTGAAATCAAATGGAACTAACCATCTAGTGCAGAATGGCAGTAACTTCACTTATTGTCAAAGTGCTTCCAGTTGCCATTGCAAGCAGTAACAGATGATTCATTTTAGAGTTTATGTACTTCAAGAGGCATCAGGAATGTGAATACATGAATTCACAGTTAAGCTAATCCACAAAACCATTTAAGTTTGTTTTTTTTTAATATTGGTCTGGGACATCCATGGTACATAGACCTTGATCATTGTCATAATAACAAAATTAAAGATTAATTATTAAAACCCAAGCACTGGGTTAACGATAGCATACTGTCAAATAAAGCATATCAAAGAACCTGGAACATATGTCCCAAAATTTCGTATTTGGATAAAGAAGTCAAATGTATGCAAGAAAAAACAATAATTCAAACAGAAATTCCTAACTGAAATGTTTAAAATTTCGTATCTTTCATTATCAAAATAAAAACAAAAAGTATATCATATTACACTATGAACGATAACTAAAAGCTTAAAATAAAAGCACAAAAATTCAATAGTTCTTAATGAAAAAAACAACATCTGAAGCTAAGCAATACTTGGGAAAGAATGAGTCTTTGTTACGCTGCAAGTGTTCATGGGGTTTACTGAGTCTGGAGAATGTGTCACCCTCCTATTGGTGGAACACTAAAGTCTAATGTTGATTGCATCATAAACTAATGCAGTACACATTATTATGTGTAGGACTGGAAAGTTTGCTTAATGCTTGGTGTATGTGCAAAAAATATTTAGCAGCGGTGTGAGGAAATAGCTATCAGTTCTGTGGAGAGGTGAGTATCAATCTGAAATACCTTTCCAGATAAGGAAACTTTTAGCAGTGAGAGTTAGTTAAAGCTTCTCTTTTCCGAAAAACTTATTGAACACAAACTACATGACCAGATGTTGTATATGATTGGGGAAAAAAACAACTAACAATACAAAAAAAGACCCTACTGAAAACTCTTGCAAATTTTTAAAATGTATATATTACTTTGTAACAATAATCTTTAGTGCCATGTAAGAAGAAAACTTTTGTTAACAGCCAGAAAAACTGCTCCAAGCAGAAGCACAAAGAAATGGGATAATTAGGAACTCTTTGTAATTTATTTGGAATTTCTGATCAGTTAATGTTGAAGAAATCATTTGCTAACAGCCAGAAAAAGTGATCCAAGTATATGCAAAAAAAAGTGAGATAACCAGGAACTTTTTTATAGTTTACTTAGAATATCTGACACCATATTATTGAAGAAAACTACTGTTAACAACCACAAAAATTTATCCAAGCATAGGCATAAACAAGTGAGCATGTTTTCTAGTTAGGTTTTCATCTCAAAACTGTATGATTCATGAAAGTATCTCATAAGCTTATTAAATGTTTGGCACCTGAATAAATAACTTGTTGTAGATCATAAATTTCACGTTTAATATCCTTGTATAAATGTTTTGTGCTTGTCACCAACTTAAGAAATCTAGTGATAATCCGGTACAAAACAACACTCTCATAAACATCAAACAACTGTTTTCTGAATTATCTCGTATAAGAAAAATGTGAAAACTCACCTAAACAAATAATGTCTGATGAGTCTCAAAACTGAAATTCACTTCCTTCTTTGATAGCAAGATGTTGTTCTTGAACATGGCCACTATCACCAGAAAGCTCTTTTTCCTCAGAATCTCTTCCCAAACTTCTTTCAGACAATGTCATAGACACCTCACTTCCAAAATGACACTCACAAGAGCAAGTTTCTACTGAAAAATCAATATCAGATCCATCAGTTACTGGTGCACTTTGGTTTTCTATGGTCCACAGTGAAGTCTGTCTTAAACGTTCAGACAGGTCAACAGTGATGTAATGGCAGCCACAACCACAAGAGTGGCATTCACATGGACACAGAATGCTGGATTTTGTTCCTACATCTGTCTTAACACCTGAGATTATATCATTTCCACCCGAATGAAATGGAATTGAAGAATGTTTATCAATACTATTTGTACTTGAGTCTGATAATGCTCTCTCAAAACTTTCAATATTTTCTATTTCAGAAAATGCTGCATCACTAAATTTCCTCTGCATAATGTTACCTATTTGGGTTTCAGAAGTCATCCATGCACTTTCAAAAGCAGCTGTAATTTTTTGTGCTTCTTGTAATACTGTTTCCATCATCAGTTCATTTTCAGGTTGTTTCTGATTGCTCCAACTGTCATTTTTTTGTAAAGCAGGATCAGGAATATGGTTAAGTGTATTTTGGTCTCTACTGCCTAAATCCCCACCACTCTGTGACTTTTTCGGAATTCTAGGACTCTGTAAACCTTTTTCACAAAAATCAACCCAATTTTTAAGATTCACTTTTTTAGGACTTTTTAGTTTAAAACTAAACTCTTCACCAGGAAGAGAAAGATGTATTTTTTCCACATGTGGATCAGGTGAAGATGAGGCTGATCGAATAAATGCTTCTAGTGGAGCAATACTTATTGGGGTTGTACTTCTGGGTCTTTCAACTGGAATAGTACTTACTTCGAGACGCTGCTGTCTAGTAGGTAGCTTTGGAAGACTACTTTTTACAGGTGATACAGGTATCTGAAAATTAGAAGGAGGAAGGTCATCATCATCCAAAGACTCTTGTGCAAGAAGAGTTTCAGCTTCATAATCTTCTTCACTCTCTCTTCTTTTTAGATGATTTTTTCTTGTGTCCTCAAAGTCCAGTTCTGACTCAGAAGAAGCATGATCTTCAGTTCCAGAAATACATTCTACTTGTGTCAATAAGTCTTGATTTTCCTGTCCTGAAATACCATTTCTCTGTCTCTCAGAAACTGCATGTTGCAGACTGTCAACAAACTTAGATTCTAAAGAAAGTTCTTTCTCAGATTTTTCTGTTTCTTCCTTTGATTCAATTTCTTTCTCATTCACTTGGTATTCAAGACTATCACTACCATCTTTAGAGTTTTCTATGATTTCAATTTCTTCATGGTTATACTTTATCTTCTCATTTTTTAGTTCTCTAATTTCTTTGTCAGCATTTAAGGTTTCTGTAATGGAAATTTTCTCTGGCTCACTTTTCATAAAATCTGATTCTGGAACAGAAATGTGAGTATCCAGTGTTTCTTTATTCACCATATGTGGTGGTGAATGTGGTAGAGTTGGTGAAGGTGTTTTGCTTCTTGGTGACTTTCTACCTCCAAACCTAAATAATGAGAAAAGCCCCCCTTTCTCTTTTTTTTTTGAACTCTTTTCATCTGTACTACTAGCAATATTGTTCCGATGAGATTTAGGAGAACCCTGAGGCGAGCGACTCTGACTTCGACTACGACTTCGAAAGATATCAGTCCAAGAACTTTTCCTTTTGTGAGATTTTTCTGAGGAATTTTGATCATCATAAGCTGAAAGTATGGAATCAGCTGACAAGTTTTTCCTTCTATCTTCCACTTGCTCAGATCTCTGAGCTTTCAATAATGAAGAAAATGATCCTGTCCTGATACTGCTTGGAGTTTGACTTTTGGCTCCCTCACAAGGAGTTAATGTACCCTGAGAGTCAACATCACTTTCAAATTGTTTATCAAACTCAGGAGTGACAAATCCAGATGAATATCCAGTATGTGGAACAGCCCTAAAGACTGAACCAGCTGGAATAGTTTCACAAATGTCTATATTATCTAGTGATTCATTTAAATTATCATTATCCGAGTCAGAACCATCCACCTTTTCCTTAATACTTGAAGGACTTTCAAGTTCATCTGATGCCAAATCTTCCAAAGAAGCCAGAGGAGCAAGAAGAGATCTCAGTTGTTCTGAAGGGAAAACATCTTCCTTTCCTTCTTCAGTCATGGTTATTATACTCAACAAGTTACAGACTGAGTATAAGCTGTTCGTTGTTTCCAGTTCTTCAGGATGGGTTTTGTTTCAACAGATACCATCCTCATTAACAGTGCTAAAAAACCTTAAAGAGTAAATAGGAAACATGAATATCTTGTCTCAAATATATTTATAAAGTTATCATTTGGTCTTAAATTATTCACACTACACTAGATTTTATGAAAAGGAAACTTTAAATTATTCATTACAAAAATTCTTTAAAAGTCTAATGTAATATTAAAAGATATAATTAAAGAACATCAAGTTGTATCATTTGAAAAGCAAACCTGATGAAAAGTATTTAAAAAAAGAAAGAAAAATTCAAAATTACAACCTAATGTATAAATACAAAAGTAAATGTTAGTATTACAATCAAATGACAATTTGAATTAAATAAACACTTACTGGTTCACGAAAAAGATCAAATTATATTTAATAAAATAAAAAGTAGCACATATCCAGATTAGACAAGTAATGATGATGCTCAGATCTGACAAACTAATCTTGACTAGTAAATTCTACATTTCAATCTTTTTTAAACTAGGAAATTAGACAAAGGATAAATTTTAAAAGTAAGTTTTGGATTTGGATCTGATTTAAACCAATAAGAAAAACAGAAATTTGACTTCAAAAATCAGTTTCTAATTTATATTTAACTTAGTGATATGTTTTAAATACAGAACTAGCTTGGACTAATGAATTTGAAATTCAGCTCTCAAATGACAAGTTCTTGCAAAATTCATTACATTTTGGCACAAAATTGTAATGTCACAGGACTGACCTGACTCCTCAAAAGCAAAATTCCAAAATACATCTTGTTATTGACATTAAAACATTTTACAGAAGTAATTAACACAAGTGTCTGTAAACTTCATTTGAAATATGTTTGTCATAAATAAGTTATTTAGTTTACATGTGTCACCTAATAAAGGTAAGTTCAGTGCATTTAATACTATACACTTCACTCAATTTATTTTTGTACTGAGGCAAAATTATACTCAGTAAATGTTCAGCTTTGAAGCAATAACATTTTCCCTTACCTGAAAATGTATTTCACATAGATACTCACCTCTCTGCACAATTAATAGCTATGACCTTGCACACTGCCTCGAAGAGTTTCGTATGTGCCACAAGTTTTGAATGAAGCATCCATACTTACACATGTTAATGTGCATTGTGCCAGCCTATGATATAATCATCGCTATACTATAATCCCCATTAATACAAGGGTAACATTTTTTCAGACACAAGAATTCTCTTGAACACAATAATTTGAACAAAGGCTCTTTCTTGACGAGACAAACAAATACATCAGGGGTGGGGAGGAAGAGTGTGAGATTGTGCAGAGAGGTATTTATCTGTTTGAAATACATTTTAAGGTAAAAAGAAAGTTAGCTTTGAAATGCTACTCGCCTCTGCACAACAAGTAGCTAAAAGTCCACATTGAAGATAGTGAAGAGGCTAGTGTAGATGAAAAAATTTTTAAAAATATAAGTTCCTTTCTAAAAATATATCAGGAAAGGAAAGACCATGAAGCATGTCACTCAATGAGAAGTCTTATCCATCTCAAGCAGGGACTACTCTTCACCCAAAAAAGATGATAGAGCAAAGATATCATTAAAACAAACTTTTACTTTGTGCTAAAGTGCTGCATAGGTGAGCAGAATGTAAGGTTGCTTAACAGGCCATTATCACATGGGCAGTCAGCTGAGCATGAATGTGTAGTGTGACTAAGGCAGTAAGTCAGGCCATTCCACATTGGAGATAAACTTACATGACATCCCAGACTTGCAGACTGAGGAGATCATAAGAACCATCTAGCCACACTAACCACCAGGAATGGCTTGGTCCATAATGTAGTGGGGTGGCCTGTACTATACTTCCACGTAAAACTTCAGCCTCACTTCTCAGTGAGAAGTGCATCCACCCTGTTTCATACTAGTGGGATTACAATGTCCCACTGAGAAACTCTCCATATTGCCCTCCCTAGTGAGTTGAGACTAAGGAAGCAAGAGTTCACCCTCTGCTTTACTAAAAGAAAACAGAAGGGAGGAATTCACTTGGGGAAGAATGCAAGAGAGAATCTTGGACTGAACAGAACACATTACATCTGCATAAGGTCCCACACTGAAAGACTGTGCAATGAGTTACCACAACAACTAAAGACAGCAGGAACAAGCAAGGTGTACAGGCAAGAATACACCTGGAGCTGTCATTTGTTTTTCCCTAGAAAAAAAATATACAGGTCCTGCCAAAGCAGTTTCATAGAAAATGCCGTCTCTACAGCAGATACAGAGCAGGGGCAGATGGGCTTAACACTTTCTGTATGCCCCTGTCCAATGCAGATTTTGGGAAAAAGAAGTATTCCCTGTAATGCAATACCTGCCACTAGGTGGGTTCTATAACCTCCATACAACACACACACACACACATTAAATATGGCAGTTGTGAGACTTGTAAAAAACAAAAAGAAAAATTAAAAACTCACTGTCAAAGAGCCACTCTTAAGAGTGGACAATGGTGGCTGGAGGGAGATGAAACCCAGAGTAGGTGAAACCATACTGTGGTGTAAGTAATGTGACGCTAATGTTTCAGTGCCATTCCACATCACAGCCTACAAGATCTCATACAGAGGATGACAATGTCAAAATATAAGCAGAGCCATAAGATAAACTTGATTGGAGGAGACATGAAAAAGAAAAGGTCATCACCCATAGAATAATAAACTAGTCAGATTTGGTGTATAATTCAATTGAGAAAAATGGAAGGGAATATGAAAGTAGAGAAAGAGGAATCCCACGGTAAGAAAAAACATAACTGCCAAGAAAAGGGGACAGTTGTACAAGTTAGATAACACTGAACAGACCATATAGAACAATGGTGATGATCTTAGAAAGATTGTACAGGGAATAAAGGGAAGTTGTCCCTGTGGAAAAATAATGTGGGAGGCAGCCAAAACAAAAGTAAGAGTGACAGTTCTTGTCAGAGTGAGAAGGGGAAGAAATATGTCTAAAGCATATAATAAGGACAACACTTCCAACACAGATCTTCCTCAATAAAATTTGGGATTGGTGTGGAGGGGAGTCAGAAAGGCAGTGATAATAAGACTTTTCCCATAGTGAAAGAATATCCGCTGAAAATGCAAGAGGATGGTGAGATCATTCTGTAGGAAGGTTCCAGGTCAAGGCAAGATAGTTGATCTGCCACCAGGTCATATGCTTTCAAGATTATCTAAAAGAGAAGGTCTATAGTCAGAAAAACAGAGGTCCCAG